AGAGCTGCGGCCCTCCAGGAATTGAGTTTGACACCTGTGCCTTAAAGGATTCATACCTGTCAACCCTCCCGTTTTTCCCAGGATTCTCCTGTATTTTACTGTTCTATCCCGCTATCATCCCGTAAAGGTACTTTCCCGTATTTCTCCAGTATTTTCAGTCTTTCTCTGAACAGCCGAGCCTCCCTATAAGCAACCCATACCGCCGAACCACCAGGGGTCGCCTCTTGCTCTAAAACGTGATTCTGTTCTGTGCTTTCGCTTTGTTTAGGAATGAAAGCACTTATGAATAAATATTAAAAACGGGGCGATTCCATTTCCTTTTGATTACAGATGCCGTCGTCCATCCTATAAAATCCTCGAAACAGTCATATAATGGTGCGTGACAGTCAGCTGAGGCGCTCCATACTGATAAACAGACGCTGTTTCCCAAACGGATTCTGTACACGTGATTTGAAGCGGAGGGAAAGTCTGGGTTTTGGTTGCGTGTTTAAACAGACATGCACACATAATTAATAATAATAAAATATAAGGATGTTGGTCTGGGTGTTTTTTTTTTCCAAACACAACTAATTTTGTCTTAAATGAGCATAAAAAGTTAGAAAAGCAGTCGAATGCTTCATTATAATGTTAGATGTGTGCATTTTTAAATTGACACTATATTTTATATTGACATTATATTATTTAATAAATAAATAATAAAAATAATTTAAAAAAATCTTAATAAATGAGAGATTCGGCGAGGCAGTGGCGCAGTAGGTAGTGCTGTCGCCACACAGCAAGAAGGTCACTGGGTCGAACCTCGGCTCAGTTGGCGTTTCTGTGTGGAGTTTGCATGTTCTCCCTGCGTTTGCGTGGGTTTCCTCCGGTTTCCTCCACGGTCCAAACACATGCGGTACAGGTGAATTGGGTTGGCGAAATTGTCCTTAGTGTATGGGTGTGTGTGTGTGTGTGTGTGGATGTTTCCCAGAGATGGGTTGCGGCTGGAAGGGCATCCCCTGCGTAAAAACTTGCTGGATAAGTTAGTGGTTCATTCCGCTGTGGCGACCCCGGATTAATAAAGGCACTAAGCCAACAAGAAAATGAATGAATGAATGAATGAATGAGAGATTCATCCGTTGCTCTTTAATCAGAATGTGTGAGTTATACAGAGGAGAAACGGCTAATGAGATTGATAGCTTGATTATATTTCAATATATTATGAACATATTTAGTAATTTGGAGATTTTTTTTTAGGGGAGGGGGGGTGTTGGGGGAATCCCTTATTATAGTGGGCATATCCCTTATTTTCACATCCCAATGTTGACAGGTATGAAAGGATTGGTTCACCTAAATATTCAATCACCCATAATTAGTCCTGTCACAATATCTATTTTTTGTTGTAGGTGTAGGGGATCAACCTACGTTGTAAGATAGATCAGGGTTTATTAGCTCATTTCAATGAACCGGATTTTGAAGATTCGAATTATTGATTCGACTCAATTGAGTCAGACTGAATCAGATTAAAAGAATCACACTTTATCTACCATTCATTCATTCATTCATTTTCTTGTCGGCTTAGTCCCTTTATTAATCTTAGGTCGCCACAGCAGAATGAACCGCCAACTTATCTAGCAAGCTTTTACGCAGCGGATGCCCTTCCAGCCGCAACCCATCTCTGGGAAACATCCACACACACACACTCATACACTACGAACAATTTAGCCTACCCAATTCACCTGTACCACATGTCTTTGGACTGTGGGGGAAAGCGGAGCACCCGGAGGAAACCCACGCGAACGCAGGGAGAACATGCAAACTCCACACAGAAACACCAACTGAGCCTAGGATCGCACCAGCGACCTTCTTGCTGTGAGGCGAACGTGCTACCCACTCCGCCACTGCCTCGCCCTTTATTTACCATTTGTCCAGCAAAACTGAAGACATCGCATCTTACCAATCTCGTTTATATTATTTCCGTGGTCAACGATGATAACGGTGTTGGGTTTACTTTTAGCAAGGCAACGAGATGCTGACTGTTACCTTGCTAAAGGTAACACTGCTGACTGTGTTTAAACCCTTTATAAAAGTGATTTATTGTTCATGATGGCTCCTCTTTAAGTCACTCAAGTGTACTGTTTATGGCCTCCTGTTTCTCTGGCGGATCTGAATGTGGGTCATGGTGTCAGAGCGCGTGTGTGTGTGCATCTGGAGGAGCTTGGGTTGTCCGTTGTGTCTCTTCCTCCCTCCTGCTGTGTTTTTGTGTGCTGATGTCATGTCTTTGTGTCTTCACAATGAGTCTGACCTGTTTTCACAACACTGCTGGCTCCTGCTGCTCGTTTGCATTCATTGCAAGGATTTGGGATTGTTTTTTTCACTTAATAAACAATAAATCATTGATCTGCCTTAACCCTGTTGCTGTAACTCCATAAATAGTAAATTACGTGAAATTAAACCGAAGATAAATGAAAGACACGTAGCAAATCATCATTTTGAGACCAGGCGTGATCAAGCTGTCTATACTAGATGCCGAATTGGACATTCTAGGTTAACTCATTTGTGTTTACTCGATAACGAAGCACCACCTAAATGGAATAACTGCCCGGCTGCTCTTCCCATCAAACATATTCGATTGGAATGCGGAAGTTTGACTACCATTAGACAACATTGTTATAAGGAGACTACTTTGATGGACATTTTTAAAAAGGTAGCACCAGGAAGAATCCTAAAGAGCTCCTATTATGGGTTTTTGAGTATGACCTTCTGTGTAGTGTGTAACACAGCTCTGAGTGAAGTGAAATATCCAGCTCAGGCTTAAATCTGAGTGTTTAAAACTATTGATTCATTTATAAAACAGTCGACTCCTAGTCCTTCAAATGAATCATCTTGATAACGAGTCTTTAGCCGTTTCATGACGTAGATATGAACTAGAGATCTGCGCGTTACTAAATTTTGAATCCCGCTCCCGCCCGCACCCGCCAGGTTTTAGCCCGAACCCGACCGCTCCCGCTTATATTAAGCACCTGATGTCCCGCTGCCCGACCCGCCCCGTTTTCTATCCGCCGCTCCCGATCCCGCTAAAGAGCGGGGGGAGAACAAAACCGAAAATCACCCAGTTATACAGTCCAGACAGCCTATAACAAGCTGTCTGTATAAACACACACACCCACGCACAGCACCAAGCACACACACACACAGACAAAGCTTTCTCTCATTCGCGCGCGCGCCCTCTAACACACACTCATAAGCACCAAGCACAAACACAGGCAAAGCTCTCTATCTCTCATTCGCGCGCGCACACACACACACACACACACGCACGCACGCACGCACGCACGCACGCACGCACACACACACACACACACACACACACACACACACACACACACACACACACACACACACACACACACACACACACACACACACACACACACACACACACACACACATCTTTCATTCGCGCGTGCGCATACATATACACACACACACACACACACACACACACACTGCAACAAACTAGCTAAACACAGCATCGCGCTATTTCATTTACACACATACATACGTGTGCTCACTTGGGAGTCAGGAGCGATATTGCTAGACAGCCCGCTCCCGTCCCAAATTAAACCCGTTACCGACCGCTCCCGTGATTTATTCGGAAATTTATACCCGCGCCGCAGAAATCTGGTCGGGTCCCGCGGCGCCCGCGGGACAGCCGCGGGAATGCAGACCTCTAATACGAAGCCCCGCCCAGTTGTTGCGCACCAAACCTGGGAAAATTGAAACCTGTAGCCCCGCCCACTAGCACCGTAGCAAGAAAAAGAGGCCAGACACACACTGTAGCAGACGCCGGTCGAATCAACGCTGTGCTCAGCTGGATGTTACTGGAAGTGTGAGGGAAAGATAGTGTTATTTTCTCTACCCAAAGATGAAACCGTGAAGAGTCAGTGGTTGAGGTTTATTTTTAAGTACCTCAGCATTATAGCCCAGCCTTGTGCTGTTTGAGTGCTTCTGGAATCTACACGCTTACAACAGAGAATTC